AAATGGCCATGCTATATCAGTGGTAAGTACTGTGAGTCAGTGGATGTGCTGACATTCTGAACAAAGTGAAGTTTAGTCTTATCTCTTACAGGATGGTTTATATTGTTGGAAACTCGGTGAGAAACCACCACTTTGGGCATTAACATGACTGAAAACCAACATTTTACTGCTGGAAGGTCTGATGGGCTATTTGAGTATCAATTTAAGACACTGACAATTTCAGAAATCCGTTAATTGCCCTGGAAGGAGGTACCATCTCCAATTTAGCACAGAACACAAGGATCAAGAGCAAAGAATTCGGAGTGAGCAATAGTGCTTCTGTGTAATCTTCTTATTTACTAATTTATAATCCTGAGGAGGTGATTTAACTCCTAATCTAATGTGAATTTAACTAGGTACTTTAGGTTAATATGCTTCCCTTCAAAAAAGTATGTATTGAAGTTCATTTCACAATACCTATTAGACAACTATATTTCAAGATGGGGTCTTTAGAAAGCTAATCAAGTTAAAGAAGTTTTCAAGCAGGACATAATATTAGGACTAAGGACCTTGTGAAAAGGGAAACTCTGAGTCCGTGAAATGGCTCAGTGTTGAGCTGCTCAACCAGAGCTAGATCTCCAGGACCCACGTGGTAGAAGGCAAGCATGGACTTCAACAAGTTGTCTGGGACTTAAACATGTGTGCTATGGCTCATGTGCATGCATATGATAAATAAATACATGTAACTAATATAAAAAACAAATTCACAAGGGGGAATTGGGGTACTCATATTGGATAAGCCCTGTGCAAGAGGGAGGGCAGAGATAACGGCAGTGCTTCCTAAAGCCAAACAATGTCAAAGGTAGCCACAGAGCCACCAAAGCAGGAGTAGATGAAAAGCAGACACTTTCTCACAGCCCTTGGAAGAAGCCAAGCCTTTAGACAACTGGTTCTTGGACTTGTAGGTTTAAGAATGATGAAGCAAGACCCAGTTTTTAGTACTTGATGGAATGAGATCTGGAACAGGCTGATATAATGAGAAAGTATTCTGATAAGGTTACAAAACACAATATTAATTTCTTTGTCTTAAGATACATTTTCTATTTCTAGCTACCATGCCTTTCTTTTCCCAGGGAAAGCAAGTGGTGTTATTGATCTGTGGAATGTAGAGAAGAAATGTATCTTCTCTAGAGATAAGATACATTTTCATAGGAACAGACAGAGGCTGGGATTGGTTGCTTCAATTAGGATGACTTGTAACAGAAAGCACAAAGCTTTGGCATTGAAGGATTACAGAGAAGCTGGAATGGGGCAAGTAACTAAGGTGGCTCCCATCTTAGCTTGTTGTACTTGGGTGGAAGGATTTTGAGGAAGAGCCAGAAACATTCTCAGTCACAGCACGCAAAACAGGTTAGACAGCTTTTTGGAAAGTGGGAAGACAAAAGCAGATTTTCTCATTATTCCAGTGGGACTGGAAAAAAGCTACTACTCAGGTTGAGTTTGTACCAAGATGAAGGACATACTTTATTATTTTTTTGAAAATATGATAGCATGAAGGATTGAACAAGTTTGTTTTCCCAGTTCTCCTTTATTTTTGAGTGATGGATAGGTGCAAAAATCACTTATTTTAACACTGGAAAGGAAGAAGATGGTAGAGAATAAACACTGACTGCTTTGACCAGTGCCCTCATAAAGGAGGAAGAAAAACTACACAAAGTTATATTATATATATATATATATATATATATATATATATAGAGAGAGAGAGAGAGAGAGAGAGAGAGAGAGAGAGAGACTACCTACAAGGCAAAAAGGTCATTTGGAGAGCACCACCAGACACAAAACTGAGTTATAAATGCCCAGTGCATCATCTGATCAGTCATCTGTCAATGGGCCAACACCTGCTAGGAAGGAGGCATTTCCAGAGCTTATTAAGCATGCTCCTTGAGGAAAGGAAGAAAGAGCCTTTATGTCATGAGCATTTTTTATTTTATTTTTTAATATTAATTACAGTTTATTAACTTTGTATCCCAGCTGTAGTCCGCTCCCTCATTCCCTCCCAATCCCACCCTCCCTCCCTCATCTCCTCCCTGCTCCTTTCCAAGTCCACTGATAGGGGAGGTCCTCCTCCTCTTCCATCTGACCCTAGCCTATCAGGTTTCTTCAGGACTGGCTGCAATGTCCTCCTCTGTGGCCTACCAAGGCTGCTCCTCCCTTGGCGGGGGGGGGGGAGCGGGAGTCAAAGAGCCAGCCATTCAGTTCATGTCAGAAATAGTCCCTGTTCCTCTTACTAGGGTACCCACTTGGAGACTGAGCTACCATGGGCTTCATCCAAGCAGGGGTTCTAGGTTATATCCATACATGGTCCTTGGTTGGAGATACAGCCTCATAAAAAAACCCTGTGCCCAGATATATTTGGTCCTTGTGGAGCTCCTGTCCTCTCCAGGCCATACTAACTCCTCCTTCTTTCATATGATTTCCTGCACTCTGCTGAAGGTTTGGTTATGAGTCTCAGAATCTGCTTTGATACATTGCTAGGTAGAGTCTTTCAGAGGCACTCTGTGGCAGGCTGCTATCCTGTTAATTGTTTTCTCCTACTTCCAGTGTCCATCCCATTTGTCTTTCTAAGTGAGGATGAGCATTTTTAAAAAAATGTAGACATAGCTCCATGTATCCATAAATTCCTCTATGAGTCAATTTCCTTTTCTTTCTAGAGGTATTCATTAAGTAAGTACCAGCTGAAAATGGTCCTCAAGACTACAGACCCTAAGCTATGAGGAAGGGGCAGTTTTTGCTACATATACTTTCAGAGTTCCAGTAGCATGAAGAGACAGATGTTCAAATAAAGGTCTCTGATGCAGCATGAGTTGCGCAGTGTAGGTGGCAATCTCAATCACCTATAAGTAGGTCAATTAGTTGCTCACAATGCCAGATAATGTGCTCGGGTGATTGCTTAGCGAGAATTAGTGCCGTTATTGATTTCCATTCACATGTGTCCAAGGCTATAGGCATACTTAAGAAAACACATTCAGAAAAATCTTCTAGGCATTTTAGATGGCGCCTCTGCCATGTGCTTTCTACTTTAGACCTCCACCACCTCCAAAGCCTCCACTCTTTGCTCTTCCCCTAGATTTCTCTCCTTGGTGCAAGTCTTTCTCAGTAGGAGAACACTGAAATTTTTGAAGAAGCATAAAAAGAAAGACTCTAAATGGACTTGGAGTGACCTACGCAAGGATCGTCCTGAGGAAGGATGAGTCTGTAGTCAGCAGGTATTTTGCACAAAGGATGTCGTTTCTCCCTTTGTTTCATGTGACAGCAGCTTTATCAGTCCTCTGCCAGTCTCCAGCCACAGTGACTTTCCCATGGTCTTTTATCTCTGGCTTCTTTTCACTCACTGTGGTATAATTACACAGAGCTAGAATCCTTTCAGTTGATCATATTTGCTATGTAGACCTTCTCTATTGTCGCTGAAAAAACACAATGGTCTGAACCACGGTTCTAGTGCCAAAGAACTGGGTCATCTTGTTCTAGAGGGGTGTTTTCCAACAGGTCAAGAAGACTATGTCCAAAAGCTGCATGATCAGAGAGTGCCCTCCAAGGATGACTGTCTTCTAAAGGTGGGTGACTTTTCTGTTTGGTTGTTTTTTTTTTCCCTGACACTGACTTCAGTACCCTTAAATACTGAGGCTTGGAGGCCATTGCTGATGCTGCACAGATCATGGGAAAGCCTCACAGAACAATAACAAAAAAAAAAAAAACCTACTGACAGATGTCAACACTAACAAAGTCCCCAAGCGTTGAGCGAAAGTGTCCTCAAATGGTCATTCCCTTCTGAGTGCCCAGCCCTGTTGCCTCTCCCACTTCTTAGAAGAAGAGGAGTCATATTAGATTAAGGCCTCACTTATGGTTTCATTAAATCTTAATTGACTCTTTAATGCCTTAAAACAGAATTCCATTAGGGGTTACGGCTTCACTACATGATTTCTTGTCAAGACAGTTCTTTTCATAGTACCAGGGCAAAATAAAAAGAGAAAATACACGGGAGATACTTTCACTTTAAGGGACTTTCCCTAGAAATTACGTAAGTCAGTCCTTTTCATGTGTCTTTGTCCCAAATCTTAGTTGCATATCTATCTGACTACAAAAAAAAAAGAAAAGAAAAGAAAAGAAAGAAAGAAAGAAAGAAAGAAAGAAAGAAAGAAAGAAAGAAA